GGGTAGTTTTGGGAATAAATTGCTTATTTAAAAAATGGGAAAGAAGGATCGCACCATTGCACTCCAACCTGGGCAACAAGAGCAAAACTGTGTCTGAAAAAAAAAAAAAAAAAAAAAGGAAAGGAGCTGGGGTGGGGAGGGAGAGGAAGGATAAATTAACCACATAAAAGAGAGGGGATAATTAAAATGAGAAATTCTGAGAAGACAGAAGGAGATTGAACCTGTGTAGTGAAGGTATAGGAGAAGGTAAATCTCTTCCTTTACACAATAGAAGAAGTAAATGTTGACATGCATGTGAATAAACTTGTATACAGCATTTGACTGTGGGAAATCTATTGTGTGAACTTACTGCCTTTGGGAATAGGAGTTAAGTTTATCTGCTTTGAGAAAGGAGCATATAAGATTAAGGAGAGAGGAGAAAGTGTAAAAACCATTGTAGAAAATAAGAAAAAGAAAACATAGTAAGATTGTAGGGCAATGCTAAGCACCTGCTTGCAACTGGCAGCTTCACATTTATTGTGGTGGCCATCTATTCACATATGCTGTAGTCTGATTGCCCACTCAGGGGGAGTGTAGTTTTAGGGTATAGTCTGATTTCCACGTAGCCAAAAAATTTGAGGGAATTTTCAGTGAGGTTGTTGGTAATGCCTTGTAGAGCCACAGAAAACCCAAGTTTTTCTCTGTTCCAAAGTGGTGGCTGTGGTGATCATACCCTTATCATCTATCCCATAGCACAGTAGTAGTTTTCAATCTTTATCAGCTGCAGACATCTGTCACCCCAGTCCTGGGAGGAATTCCATCTTATACTTGTATTTCTCTCTCTTCTGGAATTTTCCTTTCACACTGTCAGTGACAAGGCAGGAGCAAACTCCTGAATTATGAACAGGAACACATTGTGTCTCCAGGACAGAGAAGCAGTGGAACCAGAACTCCAGCATCTTAGAGTAACTGAGACTGTGTGGAAGTCCAGTGACATCATCACAAGAAATAGCTCAAGTAAATTTAGTGTCAACATTATTAGCACAAAATTGCACAAATTTAGTGCAAAAAAGCTCTCGTTGGCTAATGATTAAGCAATATCCCTCACCTGAAGTCGCAGATACTTAATAAGCAGTTGGGTAACCTCAGACACAAATCTTGTCCTATTAGAGTAAGCCTATGTTTTTTTTTTCCCCTACAATATAACATGTGATAGAACATCTTAATAGAGCCTCAAGTTCTTATTAACATAATAAGCAAAACATTACCCTTCCTACCACGTCAACAAGCCAAAGTATATTTTCCTTTCACTTTCTCAGCTATCATAATATATTGCCAAATATTTTGGAGTAGAAAAGTGTAGAACTTAATTTGAAACTCTTCCACCAAGTATGTACCTTAAATCTGGCATATATTTTGTTATTCTTACATAACATATGTTTCTTCTCCCTCACATCTTTTGTAAGAGAGAGATTTGTTATGAATATACATAATCCTTGTTTGTCCTTTTGCAAAGAATGGAATTTCTGGGATTGGTGCTAAATTCCAGGTTTCAGTCTTTAAAAATCCTGGACTTGAAGTAGGAATTCATGTTAACCAAAATAAAGTATCTCTTGGTCATAACAAAGGTCTTTCAATGAAAAAAGAAGCTTGCTGAAACTTATTAATTTCTTTGTTGCCACCCTTTCATGTAATTTCTCAGGCACAGGTCTGAAAGTGGTTTTGAGCTTAAATTCAAAGTTTGGAAAAAGGCAATTGAGTTATGCTTATTATTAATTCTAGCCTTACTGCAAGGAACTAGGATAAGTTTATGAATTTTCTCGATATTAACAGAGAAGCTAATTTGTTGAAAATCGGCCTAAGTGTTTTGAGTTAGAAGACATTTCTAGACTCATTGACTGAAAATAATTTCATGATTGTTTAAATTTGGATGCTGGAGAGATTACTTCATCAAAGAGAGGTTGACCAAGTGGTAAATTTAATGAGGTTTCCCTAAAAAATGCACAATCGCAATTGATAATAAGAGAACAATATTATGATCAATTTTATGATCAGAATTATGATCAAAATTATGAACAATATTATGATTAGTCATGGCAAACCATGACCTCACATTTTACTAACATATAGGTCCTTTTCATTAAAGTGCTATAGTTTAATGAACCCAAACATTTCTTAGATGCTTTGCTATTTCTTAAAAGTGATGAAATCTTGGTATAGGCGGACTTTAAAACAAATGTGACACATATAAGCTCTCTGAAGACTTCAGTCATATTCAGTAATGCGTGAGCAGCTCCTGAAACCATTTTCATTGTATCCCTCTCTTGTTCAAGGATATGGGTGCTACTTTTTGCAAACTCTTCAACCTAGCATTCAAAGTTTTCCTACCAGTCTACTGCCTCTACCTAGTGAGCTCCCTTCCCTCTGCTCTCCTTACTAGGCCCCTCACAGCCATCAAAACAATTTGCTGCTTTTTCCTACATAGAACTGATTTTTCTTGCCTCCCTATCTTGGAATATGCCATCCCTTTTGCTTCTTTTTTTTGTGTGCCAACTCATGTTCCCTATCACAAGTTAAATTACCTTTTTTTTTGCTCTTTACTTTTTAGAGACAGGGTCTTGCTTTGTTGCCCAAGCTGGAATGCAGTGGTGTGATCATAGCTCACTATAACCTCAAACTCTTGGGCTCCAGCAATCCTCCCACCTCAGCCTCTTGCGTATCTAGAATTGCAGGCACGTCATTGTACCTGTTTAATTTACTTTTTTTAAAATTTTTGTAGAGACAGGGTCTCACTATTTATTTTTGTAGAGACAGGTTGCCCAGGCTGGTCTTGAACTCCTGGCCTCATACAATCCTTCTGCTTTGGCCTTTCAAAGTGTTGGGATTACAGATGTGAGCCACAATGTTTGGCTTTTTTTTTTTTTTTTTTCTAAATAACAAATAAAGTTAATAATTAGTTCCATGTGGCTCTTCAAAATAATGAGTTCATGTAGCTCTCTTTACCTCTGCTATATTTATATGTGAAATGCAAAGTAATACATTGTGTTATTATTTTTGGAATTTTGGCCAAGTCATTTAAATTCATTCTGTATCTATATCGAGAATAAGACCAATGCTAGGTAATGAGTTTGTCGTCATGAGCAAACAAGATAATGTATGTGAAGCATTTAGAATGGGTGCAGGCACATGGTAAGTTCTCACTGTTATTATTATTGCACTAAAGCAAACGCTTATATTCTTTGCACAAAGAGACTGAATCTTTTCTAAGTTCATCCAGAATAATGCCACTTTTGTGCTCAGTTCATCCAGCATAATGCCTCTTTCAGGAAGAACTTAGAGAATTCTCTAGACAGCAGAGAATACTGAGACCTATATCCCTTACTAATTAGCATGTTTTAGTCATATGTATTTCGTCTCTATCCTTGGGCTACTTGAATTTCAGTATCTTTAAAAATATTAGATGATGCCAAATTGTTGATGGTTGTTAATTTTAATACAATGGGGGTAATCTATTTTGGGCACTCAATACAGTGGCTGGCATGCAGGGTGCATTCAATAAAAGTTGTTACTATTATTACTTTTTTTTTTTTGAGACGAAGTCTCATTCTGTCGCCCTGGAGTACAGTGGCGCGATCTCGGCTTACTGTAACTTCCACCTCCTGGGTTCAAGCAACTCTCTACCTCAGCCTCCCGAGTAGCTGGGATTACAGGTGCCTGCCACCACACCCAGGCAATTTTTGTAATTTTAGTAAAGATGAGGTTTCACCATGTTGGCCAGGCTGGTCTTGAACTCCTGACTTCATGATCCACTCACCTAGACTTCCCAAAGTGCTGGGATTACAGGCGTGAGCCACTGCGCCTGGCCTATTATTACTTTTGATGGGTTATCAGTGTCTGAGGTTTTTTTCTCCTTTTTGTTTTCCCAAATTCAGTGATTAAATTGCATTAAAAAATAAGGCCCAAAATATCTTTTAAAACGTGTCAGAATACATTCATTGAACAAAAACAAGTTAGTAATACCCTAAAGATTGTGTCTATATCACTTAAAATTTGCAATTCATGATATCATAATTTTTGAGATGACCTTTTTAAATCAGGAAAGCTAACTGAAAGTGAAGTATCTTACCAGATGTTTTCATTAAAATTTTGTTAGCCCATCTGTGAAAATCTTCAAGACGAATTAAAAATGTACTTAGCAACACTTAAAGGCTTAGCATTGTATTATGTTAATTCTCAAGAATGGTTTGTAAAATATTAAAATCCAAAAATTGGTTCTCAACATATTTTGCAAGCTGCTATGTTAGATTACTTTAAATTCATATTTTAAAAACACAATACTGTTCTGAAGAAAACCAAAAATCTTTAGTAAAATCCTTTATTTAATAAGTTGTCACAGATATTTTATCCTTTAAAAAGGACAGCTTCAACACAGCAAAATTTTTCAGTGTGCTAAAATAGTAAAACACATGAAAGCAATAACTTGGTACCAAAAAAGGTCTGCAAAGACATTTTTTTTTAAATTGAGTTTCTTCCTTTGGGAATTTCATAAGTTGCTTCTTGTACACAAACATTAGCAATAATTTACCTTTGTTATAACTTTAAAAATAATTTAACAAACTCATTATTTTATTATTGTCCTTGTCACATCATTTTGATAGACTTGTTTTTGAGATACTCCTTTTGCCAAATATCTTCATATTTTTGTCTTGCATAACATTATTTTAGAATGCAATTGGGAGCTGATTCCTAATATTTTGTCTAACTATCTCGGGAGTGTCATACTTTTGAACTTTGGATTGCAGTTTGCACCTCTCTGGTTGCTCCACAGTTCAACTTAGCCTGAGTCGGTGGATGGGTATCGGACCTGAACATGGAGTGGGGTTTATTCAACACAGTTTTCCCAGGAGTGAGGCAGGAGCCAAAAACTCAGCAACAAACAGGAGGTGGGATTAACGTGCAGAGCTCACGACGGCCTGAACTGATTGGCAGGAACGAAGTGGGTGGAGCTTCCTGACCTGCCCTCCTACTTCCGTTGCTAAGGACGCTTCGGCCGAGGCTACCGCCATGGATCAGGAAGAGGGGCTGAAGGCCGTGGACAATATCGTCACTCAGTTCAACACCTACGAAGATTTCCTGGACTCGCAGATCACTACCGTGGACTTGTACTACCTGGAGGTAAGGAGGTAAGGGCGAAGCGCGGCAGAGTAGCCGCCATCCCGCGTCCCTCGGTCCCTCCTCGAGTTCCCGCTTCGTAGGCTGGTCGCCCCCTGGGGCTGAACAGCTCAGCTGTCAGGCTCCACGGTTTTGGGACGGCGACACCCGCTGGGGAGGTGAATTGCCGGGCCCTTCCTGCCCTGCACTCATCCGTCCGGACCGAAGTTGGGCCCCTGGAGTTACACAGCGCAGAAACGCGCGGGCACACGCACGCTGGGGAGTCATGAATTTGTGCTTCTCGGCCTCCCCTGCCTCCTCCCAGCCCACTCCCCTTCCAAAGCCGCTCTCTGAGAGGAAGGAGGCCTGCTGAGACGTCTCCGGCTGAGATCCAGGACAGCCACCTGTTTCTCTTTGCCTTGCCAATTGATATATTAAAGAACATAAGATGGTATCTTTATACCAACCTAGTGTATTTGGTGTTATATTGGGCATTTGGGTTCATGAACTTCCACCTCATGGCAACTGATTCTGAAAGTCCTTTCATTATAGACACCCATTACAGGTAATTGTGCAGACAAATTCCTGATTCAAGTTTATCAAGTTGCTGATCACAACTAACGCTGAGAGTAAAAATATACACACAAAAAAGGCGCAAAATTGTATCTACTGGGTTGCTGTTTTCTGCCTAACAGCCAACTTCCCCTCCCCAGCTACCCCCACTGCAGGGTGGTGGGGGATAGAGTAGAGGTCTAGTCCTCTGCCAGGGGAAAACCCGGAGTCGCGGGAGTTAACAAGCCACCAGTGCTGGGAAGCTGGGAGGTGGACAGTGGCTCCCAGAGTCCCAATATATTCCTAGCCAAACTCCCCAGACCAGGCTCACTAAACGGGCACTCACCTGGAGATTCTGCTGTGCTCCTCACAGGACTCAGAATTGCCCCAATCCCTATTTAGGCCGGAGAGAGCAAGCGCCACTGTGTGGTGAAAAGCCACATCAGTCTGGGAAGGATTTGCATCCTGCCACCCCACGACCCTGCACTTCTGATCTGTAACAAAGTAACTCTGCATTTTAGTGGATTGACACTTTTGAACTTCAAAGGTTGGTTACATGGCCTTTCATTTAAATATGGATTACAGGTTTCAAAAGTGTTATTCTTCAGTACACTTAAAAAATAAATGTAGGTGGTATTTCCAATATATCTCCTGGCTTCAAAAGCAAAATTAAAAAATGTACAGATAATATATTTCAAGTCATGAAAGTCAGTTTTATGCCTTCCATCTAAGACACTGAAGGGAAATAAAAAATCCTGCTAAACAATGTTTGCATCCAAATTTTTGAATGTGAGTATAGACCTAAAACATTAATATTAATTCAAGTGAGAAATTAATAATTTGTGTTTTATCAGTCAAATTTTTTGTTTTTTCTGAGATGGAGTTTCACTCTGTTGCCCAGGCTGGAGTGTAATGGCCCCATCTCGACTCACTGCAACCTTCACCTCCCAGGTTCAAGCAATTCTTTTCCCTCAGCCTCCCAAGTAGTTGGGATTACAGGCCTGCACTACCACTGCCAGCTAATTTTTGTATTTTTATCAGATACCACGTTGGTCAGCCTGGTCTCAAACTCCTGACCTCAAGTGATCCACCAGCCTTGGCCTCCCAGAATGCTGGGATTACAGGTGTGAGCCACCATGTCTAGCCCATCAATCAGAATTTATTAAAGCTTTCTAAAATGGGAGATGGTAATTATATTTGGGGAAATGATAAAGAAATTTATTTTTACATTTGGCATTGGTTAAGTTTATTTTTGTTGTACTTTCATAAAAAGTAAGATGAAGATTTAGTTGAATAATGATAATTAGATAGGTATAAATATTACATCTATTTAGATTGATTAATGATTACTTTTAAAGTGCTATTACTTCTGGAGAGCTACATTCTCAAATACTTTCTGTGGATGCAAGTTCATTGTACACTTAGGTTACACAGAAACAAGTAGACTCCTCAGCATTCTTTCAGTGGTGAGGCAAGCACATTTCACAAGTCATGGGTCATGCTAAGGGAGCGAATACTTGTGCTTTTCCTTTCTCTCTCATCATCATCATTGTCGTCGTCCCTAATTGACGTTGATTTGAATGGAACAATTTTTAAAACATTTTAACTGACATAATTTTCTATATTTATCATATACAACATGATGCTTTAAATTACATATACATTGTGGAATGGCTAAATCAAGTTAACTAACATATGTATTACCTCACATAATTATCATTTTTTTTTTTGTGGTAAAAACACTGAAAATCTATTTGCTTGACAGTTTAAAATAACATGTTTTATTAACTGTAGTCACAAACTTATACAAGAGAGCTCTTAAACTTATTTGAATGAAAAAATTGGTAAACTGTAAGTTAGAGGTAGCATATTTAGTTAGAAGAGGCTAGAGTCGTGAGATTTTTTTTTCCCAACACTGCAATATTGAGTTTTTAATCAACAAAAAATTCTATTTTTTGCCTACAAAATGAAGCAGTTGGATGAGATTACACTCAAGTTTCCTAATGTATATAAAATTTTATGAGTTATCTACATTTTCATCTGCTTATCTATGTACTCATGTATTTATCCAGCCGCCATTTTAGTTGATAATCCTTCACCAAGGACTTGATATAGTAGAGACTGCCTAAACTGCTAAGAGTTTTTAAAGAATCTGTTCTAGACTTGAGCTGAGAAACCTAAGTTTGGTATAGTGCTTACAGTCCAGTCTGAGTTTTATTTATTCAGCAAACATTTTACAAGCATTTACTATCTTCCAGGTACTCTTTTATTGTATAGCATATTATTCTGCTCCCAAAAGTTTTCAATTAATCTTCATAGAAATTTAGTACAAATGATTCACATACAAAATAACCATATAATCTGTGCCAGATCCATTCTCTACCCTCTGTAGCTTTGTCTTTGCTCCTGGAAGATGACCTTCATGGTCATTAATCAGGACTTTTTGGCTTTGGGTTAGTTTCAGCCAATAGGAGGTACCAGCGGGAATTCAGGGAGCTGGAAGGAAGTGGTTAGAGGATTTATTCCTTGTCATCTTCCTACTGTCTGTGGTTTATAAGCGGCTGCATTCCTTAGGCCTGGCCGTCTTCTCATTCTCTCCAGGGTTTGGCAGTGCTATAGCACTCTCTCCAGGGTCTGGCAGTACTCCCTGTTCTAGGAATTGCTTCCTCCCTTACCTTCTTTTATGCCTAATGGTGTTAATGGCTTCCCACTGTTGCTAACCCAAGGATGCTTCACCATCCCATGTTGGTTTCCATTAATTTTGCCCATAGCTTTGTAAATAGTGCTTTTATTCTTTTTGGTCATTTCTTTTGAGTTTGCCATCTATTTGCTGCCATGACCCTGACCACTACATATAATCATTTAACATCTCAGATCACAATAAGTACACAAATAGTGTGTGATTCTAATAACCACACAACTTTTCACATGATGCTTGTTTAGGAAGAAAGGGAAATATGGAAAAAAGGGAAACTAATACCAGTTAATTATTTGATGAGCTAGAGAGGAGTAAGTTGGCTCAGGAGAATAAAAGAAGCACTTTATGCTATGTGTACTGGGCTTTGCATATTTTACTGAATAGCTTCAAAGCATCAAAAGAAATGCATCACATTGTCAGCAATTAGATTTTCCTCTGCTAACCCAAATAACAATATTTGTTCTGGGAGTTACTATCATCTAACCTAATTAACTTAATTCCCTAAAGCAATATATAGATAGTTGAAGAGTTTTGGCAAAATTCTTAAATATAATTTTCCAGGTTCTTTATTGGCAATTCTTCTTTTTAAATAAACACAGGCCCTTTATTTTAATAAAGCTACCTGTGACCACTGGAAAAATAAAAGTCCTACTTAAACTGCTTTTCTCAGGTAAAGGATCAAAGAGTGTTAGAATTATTTAAAATGCCTCTGACTAATGGATAGCAGTAACAGCTAAACTATTTACAGAGATAAACAACATGGAGTTTCATTTAGGGCATTGTCTTCCCATTATTTATAAAATAAAAATGGCCGATTAGGATTTTTATTTTTATAAAATAAAAATCGGCCAGCCGATTAGGAGCAACTGCAGTCTGTGGATCTCATAGAGAAGAATGAAAATAGAGAGTGAATTTGGCACATTCAACTGAAATATCCAGATTTTAGCCCTGGGACTCAACTAGGCATCCAACTTGACCCGTGGAGAATGAAGGGAAGTAGGGTAGGGCAACAACGGTCCACCCCAGCGGTGGGATAGAGCCAAAGGAATCCTCATCCCCAGCCAAAGGAAGCTGTGAGTGATTGTGCAACCCTGCCTGGGAAACCGCGCTTTTCCCACAGATCTTTGCAAACCACGGATCAGGAGATCCCTTCATGAGGCCATGCTACCAGGGCCTTTGGTTCAATACGCAGAGCTCTGCAAAGTCTCAGCAGAGTAGTTGTTCAGGCTTACACAGAGGCTCACACAGATACCCAGGAGTTTTTCAGACTGCAGCCTCAGGAATCCTGACAAGGTGAGAGTTCCATCCTTAACATCCCCTTACATCCAGGGAGCCAAGCAGTGTCATTCTGAAGGCCCCACTTCCCCTGCACCTCACAAGTTAAGAACCACTGGCTTGGAATTCCAGTTGGCCAATGCAGCAGGCTGGAGAATGCCTGAGATGGACAAATTTCCAGGAGGAAGGGTGGCTGACATTTTTGCCGTTTGGGCAACTCAGTTCTAGCTGCTGGTTCTGGGGAGTCTAGGCCCTGCAAGGAGGAGTCCCCCACAATGCAGCACAGCTGCTGTGCCAGAATGTGGCCAGACTGCTGCTGCTGCTTTTTCTTTTTTTTCTTTGAGATTAAGTTTTGTTCTTGTTACCCTGGAGTGCAATGGTGCAGTCTCAGCTCACTGCAACCTCCACCTCCCGGGTTCAAGTGATTCTCCTGCCTCAGCCTCCCAAATAGCTGGGATTACAGGTATGTGCCACCACACCTGGCTAATTCGTGTAGTTT